CTCCCTCTTGTCACTTGAAACATAGAAATTCCATTGCAGCTTTGTATAACCCTAGCATTTCTGCATCTTTTGTGTTGTTTAATTCCTATTATTCATTTATAGGTTGGTACAAGAAACCACGTTCACTGGAAAGGATCTGCAAAGATTATTCTGAATTCATGCAAATGGTGTATGGATGGGGCTAACAACTGCAAAGCTATTGATGAACAGAAACGGGTAGTTTGTTTATGAGCGTAGATTACTAATTCACAAATACACTACTATTTCTTGTTCGGTTTTTTTAATAAAAGTCCATTCTCTCTTTAGGAGATTGAAAGAATAATTGGAGACATGTGTATGAGAGGAATGCGTTGTGCTGCACTTGCTTACCAGTCCTATGAGCTTGGAAGTCTTCCAACCAGTGACGAGGAACGTTCTAGACTACCTCAGGACCTTGTTTTGTTGGCTATTATTGGTATAGAGGTAACATTTCCAGCACTACTTTCAAAACTTAAGTTTTTATCAAAGCCTGTAAAGTCTTATTATTATTGTTATTTATCCAATGTCTCTTGCAACGTCCAGGATCCTTGCCGGCGAGGCACAAAGGCTGCGATCAAACTGTGCAAGTCCGGAGGTGTTAAGGTTATGCCGCTGCTTGTTTGACCATTCTTCCTCTTACATGACATTTGAAGTTTTATGAGATTTTATTAGTAGAGTGAAGTTTTTTCTCGTCCTGAGTTTTAATTATCTAGAGTTTGACGTAGTTATATTTCCTGAGTTGCTATAAATTGCGTGGTAGCACCAACCTACCATAGGCAGTGACACCTTTTAATATCTGTTGTGGAAGAGAATAAATTTAAGCAATTTGTTTTAGGATCAACCCTTTTATCGGTGTACTTTCTAAGTTGAAGATGTTGACTTTCAGGTTTGTATGGTCACGGAAGATGACATTTTGACTGCACAAGCAATAGCAAAGGAGTGTGGGATATTGAAAAATTCGTCTGGCCCTGATAACATAATGACATGAGGTCAATTTCGTGCTCTTTCCGATCTAGAAAGAGGGCATATCGCCGAAAGCATCTTAGTATGAACCCATTCTTCTATGTTTATGGTTTAACATATAGATTCATCTTTTAACAATTAATATGATACAATGAATGGAATCATAACTGGATTCAGTATCATTTGTCACACCTTGCTCTGGGAAACTTACTATGTTGGTCAGATTGCTAGGTTCTCTCTGGTTTCAACATAATTTTCGTATAGGTCTATATTAGCAGACTGGTGATTAAAAACTGGATTGAGCCGAAAATTAACACGCTACTAATATGTGAAGGTTTTAGCTGAAGCCTCTCCCAGCGACATCCTTCTGTTTGTCACAACACTGAAGACAAACGGGCAAGTAGTTGCAGCCACTGGGATGGGAATACATGATACAATGGCACTACTCAAGGTCTGTCATTATTATCATATTTTAACTTAAAGACTCATCACAATTTTTCAAAGAGAATATGATTTCTAAACATTGAAAGATATATCCATCATCACTACAATCCACGATTATTGTTTTCCTTCCACAGGCGGATGTTAGCCTTGCCATGGGAATTGGAGGGACAGCATCAGCAAAAGAGAATTCCGATATCATTATATTGGACAACAATTTTGTCACAATTCTCAAGGTTTTCTTTTTATCTTATATGCATGGTTGAAATGACGAACTCGGCTTATAGAATACATATGATAACGATGAGCAAACCTTGACTTTTTGGCAGAATGTTTTTGGTTAAACTCATTTTGATAGTGCCCAGGAAGATATTAGTGGCTTGTTTGTATAATGCAGGTTATCCAATGGTGTCGATCTCTATACACCAATATCCAGAGATATGTCCTATTCCGTCTCACTGTCAGTGCATCAGCTGTGGTTATCTGTCTGGTTGAGGTTGTATTTTATGATGCATTTCCACTTAACACCGTGCAGGTCCGAAAATGTTATTCCTTTGTTACTTCATCTTCTAGTAATCCAGTATTTTTATGAATGGAGACCTTTTCCTAGCCCAATTTTTGCTTCTCCCTGATGCAGCTTCTGTTGCTTAATCTTATTGTCGACATCTTTGGAGCACTAGCGCTGGCATACAGACCAGCAGCTCGCCACCTAATGGGAAAGCCACCAGTTGGTATAAGGTACACAAAATCTGAATAGTGTAAAGGATACAAGAATTGATTAATAAGACAATATGTTATCGTGCCAGAAATCCTGGAAGAAACAATTGGTTTTGCTATGTGAATATACGCAAACTTATTATACATATGTATGCCTTTTTTCGTTTTTCTTTTCCAGAGACCCTTTTATAACCAGGAGGATGTGGTTGAAGTTGGTATTACAGGTATGTCGCCTAAAATCCTTGAGTTGTCATATGTAAACACTAATGTCCGAGAAAATCGTTTAATCCGTCATAGTTTCCTTGGTCATAACTTGGAGATCTCTAAATAATGCCCTCCAGGTGATTTACCTTGTGGTGTTTCTGGCGCTCGTACATTCTGATAGTATGATGAAGCTGGAGCATGGTCATACTGGGGATGCTGAAAAAGTGAAAAACACATTTATATTCAATTCCCTGGTTTTCTGCCTGGTAATGTTTGATTTATCCCACTCTTTTGATCAGTGTTTATCTGAGAATAAGTTGATCATCTCTGCCTTCTTCTATTTTTGTAAAAACAAATGCAGGTTTTTGGTGAGTTTGAATTCCGAAGTGGAGACCAACCCTGGAAAGAAATCCTTAAAGACAATCTGTTTGTCGTTGCCATAGCCTCAACTATCATTTTTCAGGTTAGTCCTTTGTACAAACGAAACACATCATTTATCTTCTTTACAAATCCCTAAACCATATATATCCTTCTGTATCAGATAATCGTAATAGAGTTTCTGAGCATTTTCATCTCTGCCGCGAGGCTCGACTTTACGAAATGGCTGCTGTCGATTCTTGCCGGAGTCTTGAAGTTCTGCTCATATCCTCAATTAATTTATAATTGACTCTTCAGTTTTTGTTTTTGTTTTTCCGTTTCTTATATATGTATATCTAAACTTTTTCAGCCAATTCGCCACTCGCCTCCCGTTTGAAGCCTATCAATATTACTACAGTAACTGATTTTTGTCTTTCCACTATCGGTGCAAGTACGGTAAGAACCTTTCACTCCCTGATCTCGATTAATCACACATGCATATCTTATTATTTCGGATTTCTCAAATAAAAACTTCTCTGAACTTGCAAGTTACAATTCTCATTTCAGGTCAAGTATTGAAGCATCCCGGTAATCTTGGACGCTTCGCAGCTTTTCTGTTCTGTGTGTGAATAAGTGCGCGAAAGAATATTGTTTTATTTGTTAGGCATTCTTTTGCTATCTTCTATAGTTTGTATAGTTGGTCTACAAGCATTTTAGGTATATATATTATACGTTTGTACTGGGGTTGGGCAAATTACTCGAACCGAACCAACCAAACCAAAATATATGGTATAGAAGTGTTAATCTCGTCTTGGACATCTATTTTTATAATTTCTCATATGGCTTCATTGGTTTTCAGACCGTTGATCTGATATTCTCTAGCATTATTGCGTAGTAACCCAACTGAAATTATAAAGACAGAAGAAACTTCTTTTGTATGATTGTATCCTCTGTTGTTTAGTTTGAGGGAGAAACCTAGGTGGAGAGAGGAGTGGAAGATGGTGTATTTTGTTTTGGGTAAGGAAGTACTAAGTATGACTGATAAAGTGATTGACAATGGTCTAAAAGAGAGAGAATGTCTTGAAATAACAAAGAATGTTTAAATGTCCAGAGAGGAAGACTTAAGAAAGAAGGTAAAAGAGGTGATTTGTTCTTTCATTGGAGAAAATAATATTTATAGAATTTTGTTTGTAAGGACAATTGCAAAAATGTCATTTTTGGTGTGTACATTTGCAATATCACTTAGTGTATCCATTTGTAAAAATATCACTAACTATAGATTTTTAAAGCATAAATTTTAAAATTATAAAACCCTAAAAAATGTTTTTGACTCCTAAAACCCTCAAAACTAATCTTTAATACAACATAATTAACCCAAACATAAATGATATAATGAAAATTTTACTGAAAAAATGGCATTTTTGCAAATTTTTTGAAAATATGGTATTTTTGAAAATGTGGCATTTTTTTAAAAATAGCACTTGAAAAGTGACATTTTTTGAAATTTCTCTTGTATGTATGGGTTAAAAATAGAATATCGCATTATGCGTCCTAGGTTAGACGGACGGGATTCAGATTTATTAATATTTTGGACATACACGAAGCATTCAAATGTATTATTATCTTAATGTGCCAATTGCCCAACATATTAGTCTTGAGGTTCAAAGTGATGTTATCAGACCAAAATTTAATGTGAAATCTATTTCCGGAGCAAAGAATCAGCAAAACATCAAATGCAAGGACTAAAATTGTTCAAAATGATACAAAAAGAAAGAAAAGAGAAACCCAGAGAAGATGACTGAGATCTTACACAATATTAAACCAAAGGTTGAGTCAAACAGTAAGTCCAAAGCACAAGAAAACATGTGATATGGCATGTTATATTGTTGGGTGGGAGTTACATAAGCTTTTGTTTTTTTTTTCCAGATGGTAATGGCAGAGAAATAAAGTTTGGTGAGTATAAAAAAAAATCTGACACACATGTAAAAACACTGTCAAAGAATCATGTAATATTGATCATCATCCTTTCCTTACAGATAGACAAAGCAAGAAATGTATGCTTCTCCTGGTTTTCTGTGTACACAAAGGCCCCCTAATGTGTCCCCTCTTTGCTCTTACTTTTTCATTCCAATAATCTCTTCCTTTTTTACACGTTTCATTTCTCTAAGACCATATCCAACCCATCTCTATTTTCATCTCTAAAATAGAGTTTAGAGTCAAATTTACTCCAACCCATTTCTATTTTCATCTCTATAATAGAAATTGCTATTTTTTTCTCTATATTTGGAAATGGAATAGAGATTTTTTTAGTCATATCCTAAAAGACAAGAAAAAATAACATTTCTCTAAAATAAAGTCATACATTGGAGGGGAAATAGAAAAATGCCACTCTATTTTAGAGATAATTATAGAAAAATATATTAGAGATGCCCTAACCATTGCAATATCAAACTAAATTCCTTCTTATTTATCACCATTTGCAATACTCCATTTTTTAAAACTAGGCTAAAAATAAGAGATCCATCTGAATTACTGAGAAATTCAGAAGTAGACACTAATGGGGATTTACTGAACTGATTTTGGTAATTTATTTTTGTACAGAATCTTTGAGGTGGAAAATTGAAGAATCAACATTGAAAAACTCTATTAAACTTAAAAGTTAAAATAAAAGGGCACAGAAATAGAAAAAGAGTTTTGTGTTGTTATTTTTCACTGTTTCTGCTATATCAATACTCATCGTTAAGCGGTTATGAATTGATTGGTGAAGTTAATACAATCATTCCACTTCACTATCAACTTTAACGCCATTACTTGTTTTATTTTGTAATTTACAGACGAAATCCTGATATAATGATAAAAGCCTTGTTCGTTGAGGCATTATTGCAAACAACTTGAGAACTATATCATTCATTGCTCAAGAAAAATCCCACCAATCACATTTTTTTCAAAATTCTAAACCCTTTTTATACCAATCAAATAGTAAAAAAAAACCCAAAGAAACATTCCAATCACACATACAAATCCAAACGCATTCTCTTTCAAAACGAAATAAAAAAATGAATGGGAAGAAGCTACTAGCTTAAGATTGGAATTCATATAGAAGAAGAAAAGAAAATTTGTGTAAGGAGTAGAAACTGAAGTACCTGCAAGTAAAGTGTTGAATCAGAGAGGAAGGATTCGTGAGGAAGAAAGGCATTGTTTATATAACAGATCACCATGATGAAATCTATAAAGCTGGGATCTTTCTTCGAGAACAAATCAAGCTTATCTTTTTTTTTTTTTTTTATGATATCTGTAAAGCTGGGAAGTGGGAACTTTGTTTGATAAAAAATGGTCTTGAATTTGAAGTAGCAAAAAG